TCTACCTCTGCATGTATTATCATCTGCTAAAAACGACAAAGGAGTCTAAATTTGTCAGAGATCCTTGTGATACCCATTGTTGAAAACAAATTGGTCAATCATAGGCTGAAAACAAAACTCAGATCGGCTAGTCCGTTCCGGTAATATTTAAGAAAGTGTGAAAATGAATTTCGTTTCTGGTGGCCGCCCCTGGAACGAAGCAAAGAAAAATGAGCCAGTCTGCGTGGAGGTATTCTTTCAGTCTTACACTAAGTAACTTCAGGACCGCCGATGCATTAAAAAATAAGGCTTATTCGTCAATGGATCAGTCAATTTGCGCGCCTTGTCAGCGATCATTCTCAGAAGCATCTCGAAAGTGTTATCGATTGTGATAGTAGGTGTGAAGAAAGGACCGGCCGAGTGCTGTGGCCACAGCACTTTCTAGAAGAACATCTCTCACTCCCATTCAACCTTAGGGGTAGGTTGGGTAAAGAAAAGTACACTCGAGGCTCGGGTAAGAAAAGTACACCAGCTGTATCTCCGAACTGAAACTACACTGAACCATCACCTTAGTGGTTTAAGAAAGATTGGTCATCCCGCTGACACAAAATAAATTTAGCCCAGTTCTACAAATAATGTTTTGAATCAAACTGCACGGTTGAAAAAAACAATAAAAATGACTACGAAAATCTTTTTTTTAACTGTTTGTACTTTGAAGTACAGCTTCCCGCAGAATCAACCGACAGTGTAATGTATGGTAACACCTTATAGCTTAGACCATCATCTTTGAAAAACAGTGCCGGTCGATGCTTAGGCTTCAACACAAATTTTTATAAGTGTAAAAATGAAAAGGGTATGAAAAGTACAGTCCACTGGGGAAGAAAAGTACAGGCATTGGGGAAGAAAAGAACACCCTGTAAAAATTTTAAAGCGGGATGAATATGGAATTGATCACGGAACAAGATTTGATAAAGCGAGACAAGCAAAAAATGTCAACACATGTTAATTAGACTCGTAATAAACAATTAATTGTTTAGGCAGTTACGGCATTTACGTGAAAAGGGGAAGAAAAGTTCAAAAATGCTGTACCCACTTATCTCTGAGAAAATCCTTCTTGGACCTCCTATAATGAGTCCATGTAGAATTAGAACAAATTGACCGATTTTGACGAAACTTGAACTGATGGCAAGTAAAAACTGTCCACTTTAAGGTTCAACGTGTATTGAGCCAAGATTTGCGGTCTTCTGGTTCGAAATCGCAATTCTTTTCCTTGTACTTTTCTTTTCCGGTGGTGTACTTTTCTTACCCTCTTCGACAAGTACCGAAATCACACAAATTTTGGCATTTTCTACGTAATGTAGGGAACTACAATCAATGAACAGTGGTCCATTTCATCAGGAAGGGACTGGATTATAAGTTCACGAGAGCAGAAAAGTTGAATCCCTATTTGGAACTTCTGCACGGTGCAAAGTACGCCTTTTGTACTTTTCTTCCCCAACCTACCCCTTTAGATATTTTGTTGAATTGCTGAGTTACGTGGAGAAAATCACCACCATAATATGTGGTGTGACCTTTGACCGCAGGGCACACGGGGTAGAGAGAATACGTAAGTCATTTCAAGAATGTTTATTCATGATAATTGCGAGCTCCACTCAACAGCAGATTTCGGACTCGATGGCGTTCTTGATGCACTTGACGGCCGGCCTGATGGAGCGTTCGCGGAGGAAGCCGTAGCCCCACAGGCAGTCTTCCAGGTAGTCGGGAACGACGCTCAAGTCGCACTCGTCGTCCTCCGCCAGCCAGCCGGACACGGTGCGGGCACACTGCCAACTGGGCTCGGCGAACTGCTGGGCGGGCACGTTGCGGGTGCAGAGCTTGATCGTGTCTTCCAGGTTGTTCACCACCCTTGTGTTGCAGCGACCTTCAGCGGCAACCTGTGGACGGGTAGACCAAAACAATTTGGTTGAAAAGATATCCTGGAATAGGTGTATTGATTTTGTGCGTAGAAGATTATTGTCATCAAATGAAGTCGTCTGGCCCGTATTGCGAGGAGTACTTTTCCAATTTCATAACTGTGCCAAACTATTCTGGTTTTGGTTTTTTACATACCTTCTTTCCAATCGCACTCGCCGAGACAGCGGCCATCTGCAAATTGCATTTAAATGGTAATGGTGACAAAGGCACAAAAAGGAAGATTCTTTTTTGAATGGAAAAAAAGCTAATTGAACCTAGTCCGATTATGCGATTTCGTACACCGTCGTGGATCTCGAGATATGCGACAGGCATTACCAGTCGCAGAAGACGGGTAAAGTTATCGAGCCGATTCTAGATGCATGCACTGCAATGCCAAGTTTGAGGCAGTGTGAACTACGCGTGTCTCAAGCTTGCGAGAGACTCACTCATGTCTCACACTTGTTACTGTGACGCATTGTTTTGTCTGACTTGCAAGCATGGGACACCCGTGGTCTAAGCGTGAGAGATTTTGCTGCACGCCAAATAGTGTGGGAACGCTTCGCAACTGAGTAGGAGACACACGTTCCAAACCCAAACTAATCGGCAACTCACGAGGCAGCAGGCGCTGAGGGCCAACACGATCATGGAGTACTTGGAAGCCATGGCTGACGATGTCGCAGAGGAGTCTGAGACTGGTGCCCAGGAGTGGGAAGCCGCCCACTATAAAGGCAGCATTGGGACTGGTCCTTTGCCTAATCTCCACGAGAGACGGCACGGATCGTTGTTTCCCAGTGTACGACCGTGGTGCAACTCTGATGTGTGCTGTTCAAAGGGGCAACCACTTGAATTTTTTTTGTAGGATTCTTGGAAGGTGGTCAACTTTCACACATTTTCTCGCAGTGCATGGATCACAGCACAAACAGCACTCAGCCCTCTTCGAATAAGTGGCATCGCTATCACTCCATTAACAGCATGGACACTCCAATCTCCAATGGCGATGTGTAACACTGATTTCCGAAGCGCCAACACCTGCGCAGCGCAGTGTTGCAGCGATCTTCGGCGGAGGAGGGTCCTCTGAAGTGGTCTTTGCGTCATGACTTCGGGAAGAGAGTGAGGAACGATTCAGAGAAGAACGGTGGCCGCAGAGAGGTGCTTTGGTATTAGTCACCGCATGAAAATATTTTTCATGCGGTGACTTATACACTCTAAATGTCTTACGAAGAGATTTCCTATAATACGAAGGAAATGGCGCAAGCATAATACGAAGGTGGTTTTTCTTCGTATTACGAAGGTTTTTCTTTGTATCTTACAATGAAAAAGCTTAAAAGATTTCGTATTACGAAGGAATATTGCTTCGTATTATGCTTGCGCTGAATTCACTGTAACATACGAATAACATGGGTCAAACTTCACTGTAAGACATTTAGAGTGCAGTGCTCGCAGCTCACAGCACCGGCAGCCAACCTCCTCCAACATGTCCAAGATCCCCGTCGTCGTCATGCTGGCCGTGCACTGCAGGAAATAACCACAACAAAAGTACACAAATTTCTGGCAAATTTTTTTTATCAGGAATTTAGTGTACTTTTCAAGTACAACAATTGTTGTACAAAGTACAATGGAACCGGCATGACGAGTGCTGTGCACCCCAGATAAAATTTCTCCAGGCAACTTTGAGCAAAGGTGAGCAGGGGTCGAGCACAGCCCGAGCCCTGCCCGGCACCCGGTGGGCAACTACCGGGCAACACCCGGGCAACTACCGGGCAACACCCGGGCAACACCCGGGCAACACCCGGGCAACACCCGGGCAACTCCGGGCAACATCCGGGCAACACCCGGGCAACTCTGAGCAACTATCGGGCAACTTTGGGCAACTGTCCGGCTTGTTGAGGCATCACCCGGGCAAAGCCCCCCGCGGGCAAAAGTGCGCACCAAGTGACTCCAGCGCAGCGCGGCGCCCGAACTGCGGCTGCTTGGCCAGAGCGCCCAGCCCGGCCCGCCACCCTGAGTATGGGCCGGGTGGCGGCCCGGACCGTCAGAGGAGCGGGCCGTCGCACAACCCGCTCCGATCGGCACCACGCTTGGCTTCGGCTGCGTAGCCGAGCTCGCAACGCGCTGGCTCGCTGCGAGCGGCGGTCGGTTCGATGCCAGGCAAGGCAGCGCGCCGCTCGGCAGCCATCCTTGTCTAACCCACTAGCCGCCTTGAGTGCGAGAGAGATGCAAGATTGGCGGTCTTTGTTCAACGGATGCAAAGCATGGCGGTCTTTGTTCAACCGACGCAAAGCATAGCGGTCTTTGTTCATAGGACCCATCGATAATGTGCTCGCTCGTCGAGCGTCGAGCGCCGCCATAGGCAACCAATCTCATAGTGCAGTGCAGCCAGCTGGTTGCCTACTCCTGTCCAGCAAGGCGCGCGGCGAGCCACCCTTACGCGCGGCGGCGGGAGAGGGAGGGGAGAGGGAAGGGGTGAGGTGAGCGTCTGCCCACCTCTCGACACCTGTAAGGAAAAGGCACGCAGTAGCGGCCGCGCGATCCAAAAGGCGCTCAGTTGCGGCCCTGCGATCTGAAAGGCACGCAGTATGCCGCGCGCGATCCAAAAGGCACTCAGTTTGCCCCGCGCGATCCAAAAGACACGCAGTTTACCGGCCGCCAGCGGTAAACTGCGTGTCTTTTGGATCGCGCGGGGCAAACTGAGTGCCTTTTGGATCGCGCGCTGCAAACTGCGTGCCTTTCAGATCGCAGGGCCGCAACTGAGCGCCTTTTGGATCGCGCGGCCGCTACTGCGTGCCTTTTCCTTACAGGTGTCGCTCTGCCTCCCTACCCCTCCCCTCTCACCCTCCCCGCGCCGTGCGTTGGTTGAAATGTTAACAAACACCATGTTTGAAACGAAAAGGTTTGTGATGCTGCGGCCGTGTGATATTGACGTTGAACTTCTCACGTATCTTTATCACAATTTCGTGGCTCGCTTTATCCTTGCCCAGCGGTTCTCAACCTTGGGGTCGCGAACAAATTTCGAGGGGTCGCGGTGAGGTAACTGGGGTCGCTTGGGGTGGCGGCGGTTTCCCGGCTGGCCCACACGCCGAGCACTGGCGGGAACAACTTTTAAGTTGATCAAAACGGTCACAAATGTCTTTGAGAAATCGTGTTTTGGGCCGACTTTAGGCATCCACTGCGTCTGATCCGAGGCGGTACTTCGTCCTCCCTCAACGGGCAATTGGTCTTTAGACCTTTCTTTAGCATGCCTTTGTTACGGAGTGCGATTGTCTGCCTTAATTTGGGAGCAGTATTGCCGCAATATTGATCAAAACGGTCACAATTGTCTGTGAAAAATCGTGTTTTGGGCTGACTTTAAGCAGCAACTGCGTCTGATCTAAGGCGGTATTTCATCCTCTTTCAACGGGAAATTGGTCTTTGGACCTTCCTTTAGCATGCCTTTGTTACGGAGTGCGATTATCTGCCTTAGTTTGGGAGCAGTATTGCCGCAAAGTTGATCAAAACGGTCACAAATGTCTGAAAAATCGTGTATTGATCAACTTTGCGGCAATACTGCTCCCAAACTAAGGCAGATAATCGCACTCCGCAACAAACGCATGCTAAAGGAAGGTCCAAAGACCAATAACCTGCTAATGGAGGACGAAATACCGCCTAGGATCAGACGCAGTGGATGCTTAAAGTCAGCCCAAAAAAACGATTTTTCAAAGACATTTGTGAACGTTTTGATCAAGTTTGCGGCAATACTGCTCCCAAACTAAGGCAGATAATCGCACTCCGTAACAAAGGCATGCTAAAGGAAGGCCCAAAGACCAATTGTCCATTGAGGGAGCACGAAATACCGCCTTGGATTAGACGCAGTGGCTGCTTAAATTCGGCCCAAAACACGATTTTTCAAAGACATTTGGGAACCGTTTTGATCATTTTTGCTGCAATACTGCTTCGAAACTAAGGTGGATTATCGCACTTTGTATCAAAGGCATGCTAAAGGAGGGGTCACGTGGGGTCACGAAATTTTTCCTGGGGGTCGCGGAAATTTTTCGCCACAAATTTGGGGTCGCGAACCGAAAACGGTTGAGAAACGCTGTCCTTGCCCTTTATTCTTGCCGCCACCGGCCGGTGGACCGGTGTGCGGTGTGATCGACGCTCGACGAGCGAGCACATCTTGCATCTCTCTCGCACTCAAGGCGGCTAGTGGGTTAGACAAGGATGGCTGCCGAGCGGCGCGCTGTCTTGCCTGGCATCGAACCGAGCGCCGCTCGCAGCGAGCCAGCGCGTTGCGAGCTCGGCTACGCAGCCGAAGCCAAGCGTGGTGCCGATCGGAGCGGGTTGTGCGACGGCCCGCTCCTCTGATGGTCCGGGCCGCCACCGGCCCACACTGCGAGAAAAGAGCACGGTAAATCCTGTACTGATTACTCCAGACTTCACCGTACTTTTTTTAACAGGCAATACCGTCGTTTTCTTTACAGGCAATACCGTATTTTTTTACAGGCAACGCCGTACTATTTTTACAGGGAATCCCGTACTTTTTACCCAGCAATCCCGTACTTTTAATACCTATCAAAAACTACTATAATTTATTTCAGTCGGTCGACCCTCGTTTTTCAAGATTCTGATGTACGTAACTGCTGAAGTCGGACTCCTGGACCCCCCTTCCGACCACTCGTTGAAAAGGTCTTGACGAGACCTATCGAAAGGTGCAATAAAATTTTTCAGTCGGTCGACCCCCTTTTTTCAAGATCCTGATGTGGACAGTTCTTGGGAGCGGCCTTTGTTGGGACCAGATCTGGTCCTTCCTACGGCATGGACTGTGCGAAAGAACGGTAACTTCTGTTAAAAAACTACGGAATATTTTGCAAAACAAGTACGGTAAATACTGTAGACTGTACGGTGGATATTGGTTTTTGAAGTACGGTAAAGTTTGGCAAAAAAATTATCCAGGATTCACCGTCATTTTTTCTCAGAGTGCATACTCAGGGTGGCGGGCCGGGCTGGGCGCTCTGGCCAAGCAGCCGCAGTTCGGGCGCCGCGCTGCGCTGGAGTCACTTGGTGCGCACTTTTGCCCGCGGGGGGCTTTGCCCGGGTGATGCCTCAACAAGCCGGACAGTTGCCCAAAGTTGCCCGATAGTTGCTCAGAGTTGCCCGGAGTTGCCCGGGTGTTACCCGGGTGTTGCCCGGGTGTTGCCCGGGTGTTGCCCGGGTGTTGCCCGGATGTTGCCCGGGTGTTGCCCGGTAGTTGCCCACCGGGTGCCGGGCAGGGCTCGGGCTGTGCTCGACCCCTGCTTAGGGTGGTCCAAAAAAAATAAAGTTGCTCGGATCGTTCAACGCCGCCCGGATTTGGATTCTACATCGAAAAAAATGAAGTACATGTTTTTTCTTTTTTCGAAAAAATGACTTTTAGGACCTCCTCAAAGCCCTCAAAGTTTTTAACAGTGCTATTAATAAGAAAAAATCGTAACTTGGTCATTTTTTGACCGATTTTCAAAAACGAAACGGGGATTTGTTCGTTTTTGAATGCTTATTAGGAAAAAAAATATGCACAACCCTCATTTTGGTTTGCCTTACTCTCAGGGGCAAAAAATGACTAAATTTCGGCCCAAATTGGCAAGAGTTTCAGTTTGTAGGCCGCTAGAGCCACTCCAAGTCAACCCTGTCAGCATGGCGGGGTGCCCCCACCACAAGGCAAGCCATATGAACAGAAATGAGATGCCGAGTGCAATTTGCCTACCTCACAGGGGCATCAAACTGTGGATTTTTTCGA